AACCCAAGTAAAATACCCAACAACCAAACCTAGGCCCGTTGCTCGCTCTGGGAACTCAAAAATAAAACCAGAGGCAGAAAAAAAGCTTTTGTTTTGTGTCAAGTCTGACGTCAGTCCTTAGATAGATGCATAGCTATTGATAATGAGAGCCAGTGGAAGTAGCTTCTAGAAGGGGCCAGGTCTCTTTATAAGGTCTCCCCTGGGCAAAAATCACATTAAGATATCAGGATGTAGTGGTGTGACAGAATCACAGCTATATCAAAAACATACTAGAACTCAAGAAGTGTGATGTAAAGATAGTAGAGTCACCGTAATAAAAATAGTTCTTTGAACATAAGATTGTCTTCGTCTCTGCATGGTCAGATTTACTTTGTAAAATACACCTCCTCCCCTGATTCTTTCACAATGCCAGGGCTTTAACTAGTGCCTGGATGTTCTGGAAACTGTTATAATACCCAGTCTCTTGTCTCTCCAAAAGCTTTCAACTAACAGATGGATTTGTGGGGTCAAAAGATGTTCTGCTTCAACTTCAGGATTTAAATCTAAAAACCATAACTACATTGGCAAGAATATTTTCAATGGAGAAAATATTTCCTCCATATTACATGAGACATACATTTTTAAATAGGCAGACGTCAATGACCTATTTGACCAGAATCTCTTTCCCATGCTCAACCACCTTTTGTCTAAAGAAAAATGATAGGATGTGGGGTGGGGGGTAGGGAAAACAAACCATTTAAGAAAAGTCTGCAAGGGCTCCCAGTAAAACTTCAGGTTGAAAAGGGCCATTGTAAGGATTTCTTCAGGTTCCTTTGTGTGTAGCTTTGACTCACAGGGGGAGAAATGATTAGCATTTACCTAACAATGCTAAAGAAAACGCAAGAAAGGGCTTTGCAGAATGGGGAGAATGGAGCTAATGGGGCCTTTCATTAAAACTGCAGCAGGTTCTACAATGTGGTGAACTAGGCATTCCCAAAGCAGTTTCTGAGCAAAGCAAGCACTTCCCTTTCTTTCACACGTCTGTGGTTAACGTCTCCTGGAACTGAGATTTAGTAACACTACTATACAACTCAACCTTTCTCAAATCTGGTTTGGTCCTTTGGTTTCTTTTCACAAAAAAAGAGTAAGTACATCAAAATTACCGTATTTACCTATACTGTTCAGAAGAAAGATATTTCATCAACTCTTGCAATTTATGGGTCAAGGGACAAGTGACTTGGGAGAGGTATACACAGCTAATGAATGAGCACATCCACCTAGGCAGCGGATGGCCAGTGTTTACACCATGGACCACCCAACCTACCAAGCATCTTAAGGGAAGTTTCTAAAGTTCCTACTGTCACATAAATTGATATTTTTCTGCATTATCAAATAACATGTTTAAACAGTTCATTTGAAGTCACACAGTCACTAGTGAGAGAACTCTTAGGATAATTTGTTCTATTACTCCTCAACAAAATGCCTCAAGGATTCAACTATGTTGAATGATATGCTATTATCGCTCTCAGGAACGGCATAAAGAGACATCATCCTCAGGCTGAGATTTCCCCCATGCAGTTTGTTAAGAGATGGAGGCAGGAAAAAAAAAAGTCATTTCACAGATTCATAATCTGAGTCTTATATTAAAAACTTAGAAGAGAAAAGTAATTTATAACTGAAATATAGCTTGATTCTGAGGAGATAGGGAGAACAGAAGGCATAAATCTGCATGTTCTGGGTTGAAGATGTAGCTCGGTGGTAGAGTTAATTGCCAATGTGTAAAGCCCAGAGTTCGATCCCTAACACCATGAAAATATATGAAAGAATAGCTGAATAAAGGAAGAAATTAATAAAATTTAAAAATCAATCTTTTTCCTGCACATTGCAAATTGATTTCAAATTGCTACTTCTGTCTTAACACACATCATGGAGTTGACCTGACGCAGGAAGGTCTGCACTGCCCCCTCATGGCCAGGAGGCTCATTGGCAACTCTTCGAGTACCAATAAAAAGACAGATGGTTGAAGGCAAAGTTAGGCTCAATTAAGACCTTCTGATGATGGGTGCTAGTCTCTACAAAATGAATAGTACTCTCTTGAAAACATTAACAGCCCTGCCCTGAACATTTTATCTGCTTCAGAATTTGATATTTGTTTACAATATATCCAGGAAAAGGCAAAGTCATTTTCTCCAGAGGGAAAAAGAAGATTTAGTTACTTTAAGGAAAATGAAAAAGAGTCCACACAGAAGAGTAATTTCTAAAGAAGGTAGCCTATAGAAACTGCGTTTTGGAGAGTATAAACCATCTGCCTCAGACTATGAGAGCGCAAGACACAAAGGATTAGAACAGTCCATTCAATTTTCTTCACAAGAACTTCTGAGATAGTTTACTCAAGTTTAAGGCAATAAGTATTTAATACTTTCAGAAATCATTTAACACTTCCTTCAAATAAAGAACAAAAGACATAGCAGATGAAAAGTGAGGCCTACAAATGAGCTGGGGTTTTTAACAAAACACAAGTTTTATGGCCAATAAAATAGAAGTTAAACATGAAAGACAAAGGTTTTCAAAGAATACAAAACATTATAATTCAAATTCCTGAAGAGAAGAAACTATACTTGTTCTAGAAAGAAAGAGCCTGGCAGAGAGAGAGAGAGGAGAGAGAGAGAGAGAGAGAGAGAGAGAGAGAGTGCGAGATGGAAATGAAGAATGAGAAGTAAATCCTCCAAGCATATCCTGAGTTAATTAATGATATCTTACTATTGTCTTTTATGGAGGAAGGAGCGGTATGATGGGATGGAAGGAGTAATATTTCTTATCCTCTAAGACGAATTTCAGTTTTTCTGAAGAGTCAGATAAAGATGTGCTATTTTACACGACTAGCAGGAAAATGAAACACTGATTTGCTTTTAAGTACAAAAAATGTACTCCTAGATACAAGTCAGTTGATGAGTTTTCTAATTATTAACACTTGGATAAAGTATATGCAGTGTAGGAGAGAACACAAGTTACCATGTATTTACGCATATCCAGAACAGAATTCCGTTCGAAAGTTTAGGGTACAAACCTAGGTTATTCAGCTTCATTTAGGGATCCAAAATTACTAATGAGTGATAAAATAATCTAATTTACAATTCTAATACACACACACAGACTCACACACAAATATATATGGAGAGAGGGAGAGACAGAGACAAATACCAAGAGCTTAGATATAGTCTTGAATAAACATCTCAGAACTCAAGAGACCATATAGTATCTCAAATATACTTTAAAAAAATATGACTATAATCTCCAAATATCACATGGTGACCTCTTGACTGTAGTCCTATCAGGGACTTTTATAGTCTTGGTAACTTGCAAGGTTTGCAATATCCCATAAGTGCATAGATGCCTATCAAACAGGAGTGGCTATAACTGTGTGATATATAGAGAAGATGGTAGAGAATTTGCTCATTTGGCATGTCAGCTTCTAATATGCAGCATATGACCCCAATTGTGAGCAAATGACTAGCACCAGGATCGGCATTTGGGCTGCAAAAGCATTCATAATGATGATCCCTTACTTCCGAATACAAGCTATAGGATCCCATTGCTGCTCTTTGTAGAAGTCAATTTTATAACCATGCTGGCCGCCACATACATTCCTCTACATTCGTATTTAACACTCAAATAAACCTTTGGGGTCTGTGTCACAGGGGTCTGCAGACATCATGCCAGGGAGGTCGGTCTCAGAGCAGTTGCAGTAGGGACCATTCTGGCCACATTCAAAGACTGTCAAAAGGTATATGCTTGTTCCCAAATCTAAGGCCAAAAATTACTGAGAAAGAAAAAGCCACCTCTGAAGCTTCTTACTGGAGCCAGAATAGATTGTTATTAACTGATGGGGTTAGAGTCTTGTGTGTCATAATGTAAGATGACAGATGCAGAGCGAACATATTTCTTAAAGTCACATCAAGGTATTCTGCTATCCCTCCCCTGTCATATTTTGAGAGGAACTTGTTATAACCAAAGTCTTTCAATAATGTAAGGACACTGAAGGAAGGGGCTGTGAGGGGGCAGGAGAGGAGGGCACTGGTACAAGGTGGGAGGGTGTAGACCCGATGTCGCTCTCAGAAGGTCTGGAAAGAGGCCATGTGAAGGCTGAAATGACACTGAGATCCACCTCCTGAAGCTTTCCCTGCATGTCTCCAAGCCTATGAATCTTGTCATAATCAGCCACATCTCCAGTCCCAGAGTTCTGTGATCCTATGATTCCATCATTCCATTTTTAAACCTGTGGAGTGGGAGTGTTTCTGAGTACCCTGCTCACACAGATGGTGGTGGGAAGAATCTCAAGAATATGTTGCATGTAGTAAATGCCCACTTCACTACGTAATCACTCCCTTCCCATTCCACAGGAACCAAGATATTATCTCAAACACAGTCACCAAACATCAGGGCTTTAATGGTAGCAAGGCATCAGCACACACATGTGTGAAGAACACAAAAGAAGACATTTCTCCCAGTTACACACACCTGGGGATGAACATGATAGCTTAACAGATCACTTTTGAAACCAGCTCCATAGACTGAGGGAAAGGGAGACACCAGAGAAAGGAAGAAAAAAAATCAACTCAATGAAAGATAAAATCACACAAGATATAAGATACTGCTACATTCTTGCTGTTCTAAAAATACACTGCACTGAAAAGCCATTTGTCAAGGCAACCTTTCAGAGACTAAAACAAGGCCAATGTGCCAACCACCACATTGATTCCACAATCATCTCAGTCTGAATATTGCCTCGGTCCTCCTCTTCCACAAACTGGCCCTGTTAAAACTGCCCCACAACACAGTGATCCCTGCAGCTGGAGTTAAGGTATCATGCCTCACCCCAATCTCACCTGATTATCTTAGAGACATTTTATGCTCCCTGTTACTTTCTCAGCCTGTCACTGCACACGAGATGCTGAAACTGCATCGTATCCTGTTATCCCACTATACAATTGTCAATAATGTTCAGCACAGCATTTCTTTACCTTGGTCTCCTTAGCAGAAAACTCTGAGGAGTTGGAAATTTTCATAGACTTTGACCGGTGGGACTGCCTCCGAATAGAATCCTCCCGGGAGTATTTCACAGAACCTGAGGTCCTTACCCGGACCTTGCTGGTACTCTGAACACTATTCACGCCAATCATTTTGAAGGTCTACTAGGGAAGAGATCTGGAGAAATAAAAAGGCACTTTCCACCCGTTACAAGGCTCTAATGTTGAAGGAACTCTGCCCGTTGTACTCCAGCGGCCCCAAGCAGCTCCTGAGCAGCTCTGTGATCCGCCTTAGCTCAGGACGTGCGAGGCTCCCTCCCCCAGCATCTTCAACTACCCTGTTTGCAGCCAGTCTGATTGTTCCAGGCATGCTCACGTCACTGGCTGCGAAGAGGAAAAAAAAAAAAAAAAAGGAAGCCCACCCCTGCTACTCTGCTCTCTTACACACACACACACACACACACACACCATATTCACACTGGAACAAATGGCAATTGGCCAGGCAAGCAATTCATTAACATTCCAAATAGCAACACCACTTCTCTTGTGATATCTGCAGTAAGTTCATTACTGTCAACAACAAAAAAGATACCACAAATAAAAGTCGCAAGTAATCTGCAAGGCACCACATGGGGTGGGAACGGATGGAGCTACATTTCTAAAAGGGGAAAAGAAATACAGATGGATGTCAACAGGCTCAGTCACTGACAGGCTAGTGACAGGATGGTAGCCACAATCTTGGTGATCAATAATTTTCCTTTCTTCCCCGTTTCAAGTCACATACCGTTTATAATAGCACTTTAAATTGCATTGGAATTAAATGTCTCCTATGATCTTAGATTACTACAGCTAGATATTTAGGCAGAAATGGCAAACTTGCTCAGCAATGCAGAAGATGTTTGCTATCAAACTGAAAAGCTAAAAAAAAAAAAAGTTAAGGGGTTAGCACATAGCAACTTTAAATATGCTTGGCGTAAGATCAATAAAGGCAATCCAGATCAATAGGGAGCTTTTCCAATGCTCTTTGCATATGGGAGCATACCACCTTCTGAACAAGAATTACAAGTTGGGCACTATTAGAAAACAATCATTTTAGTTCTGACTACTTTTGAACATAATACTCAATAATAAAAGGTAAATGATTTATATAATCTGAGGAAAAGCCTTATCCAGCCATGAACCAAGTGAGCTACAATAATGCCTAGCCTGGCAAGATATGCCCACCGGTGCAATAATGACAGGAGTGCTCTGGGAGAACCAACCACCATCTGACTGGATTTAAAGTCTACTTCCCAAGATGAGGCCCATATCTGGCACTATTATTAGGGCAAAGAACTTGTGGCTAGACAAGTCACAGGCCATAGGGGAGAACTTACTACTGTTATTCTGCTAAACAGACATCGTAGTAAACTGACTGGTAATGACTTATTGTTACACTCATAAATGAGTGCATCTCTGAACTCTCACCAGAGAAGCTTCTTCTTGCAGCAGATGATAATTAATACAGAGACACACAGCTGGTCAACATGCAGAGAATATGAGATTGTGCAGTGCTCAGCCCTAAATGGACACCTACATCATACGTTCACCTCTGAAGGCTCAGGGATCATTGCAGAGGGGAGTGGAAAGATAAGATCCAAAGGTGGCAAATGAATACAAAGAATCCTTGTTGTCTGGACACAACAGGTCATTTGTACATATTAAATCACAACACTTGTGACAGCATGTACAAGACCTGTGCAAGCCCAAGCCAAACAAACCCAGCATGGAGGGGAGGTGGGCCAGCCCTAGCTGAGGCTCTATCAGCAATTGATGGCTGCTGGGAAAGGGAAAGACAGTTTTCCTTAAGTGTGTAACACCTGGTAGATTGATCGGACTCCATGGGATGGACCCATAACCTAGAGCATTTGGGGAACACAAATTAGACTCATTGGGCCTTTTAAAAAAGAGAAATAATAATAGAGTACACAAGTCAGAGGGAGGGGATGAGGATTGAAGGGTCTGAATACGGTCAAAATACACTGTATGAAGTTCTCAAAGAACCAATAAAAATATTACAAACAATATTTCAGATTGTAACACCTGACTTGTCTGGCATCCCTGAGGTAGAGGGTCAGTGACATAAAAGCAGTCTCCCAGAAAAAAGGTGGTTTTGATATTAATATAAATAAAACCTAAAAGTTGTTTGTAAAAACTATGCTGAGAAGAAAGTGCTTCCTTGGTCCTCCACAATCCTCAAACTTGACTTCCCTCTCATGATTCAGGATTGCAAATTTTATACACTATCTAACCAAATATGGATGCTTTCTGCTGTTACTTGAGGTATTTGGACATCCCCTGTCAGCAGGCCAGGTAACAGAACAGCTGCACTGTCTCCCTTGTCCTTGAAGCCTTGGGGCTTCAGTTAAGTGGAATTTAGTCTAAAATAATGATAGAAACTATGTGTGGGAAGATCTCTTCTGCCTTAGGGTTGCACTGAGTTCAGAGTCTATGAATCATTCCATCTTCCTTGAGGTACACTTTCCTCTTTTCAAGTAGTGACTGGGAATACGATGACCTTGTACTTTATGGGGCACATTCCAAAGATGTAGATGTACTGCAACGGTAGAGTAAAGCTAATCATTTAGAATACATGCAATTCTAGCTGACGCATATGATGATTCTTTAGGTGAGTGTATCTAAGCAATGTAAACCTGAGGTGGAACCACATCCAAGCAGATTTCAAATAGTCCTATGTAAAGAAGCCGACAGCCTCCCCAGTGTGGGGCAAAATAGACAGCACCAGCCATCATATCCTTTGGATATTTGGCAGTTACTACAGGAGAAATCAGAATATGTCTCGTGAAGAGATTAACATTCTTTTTCTCTACCAGAATGATTACTTAGAAAGAGAAAATCTACATCCCACAATATGATATCTAGCTTCATTTCTAGAATGTATAGATGAAATGTATTATTTTTGCATGATTATCATCCAACTGGCATTAGCCCTGGAAGCCATTACTAATAACTACTTGCTTCTGTGCAATACCTAAAACTTTAGAGAAGTAGCCTTGTGCCTTATTTTAAGCCTCATGCTGACAAATCCATCAGGTGGCCTGAGGTGGCATCACAATCCCCCTGTACAGATGGGATGACCAGTTTAGGATGCTGTGACACTGCCAGATCAAGCTCCATGTCATGATATATGACAGAGTACCATCTCCCCACTACAGCTTCTGCAGCCAGGCTTTCTACCAACCAGAGGGAAAAGCCTTCATCCATCCCTGCCCTGTGTTCTCTGCTCCAGAATACATACTTGTATTTGGATGGTGATGAGAACTGCTGGAGTGGCTGTCAGAGTCTAAGAACTAATAGCAAAAGGTATTTCCAACCTCTTAAGCATGTTCTTAAGAGAAACCTGAGAAGCAATAAAACTGGATCTCAAGGGTCATGGTGCTCTGATCTCATCTGACCTAAATGCCATCCCTACCACTGCCTAATATTACTATCGCATTCAATCAGATCCATCTCCTTATGCCACACTAATGCCCTGGACTGTAGATTCCATACAGCTTGTGCATGGAACATGGCCTTGCATCCTTTCTGAACCTTTTTCAATGATTCCCCCTACTTGCTGTCCTCCTGCTTCTTCTACCCCTCTACTGTCCCTGTAGCTGCCTTCTCATCATTCAAGAGTCAGCCCAAGTGGCAATCTTTCAAAGGGCCACCCTCCCTAAAGTGCCCTTCATTTCCACACTAATCACTCTCCATCTTAACCCCCACCACATGCTTGTCTTCAGGACACTTATTTTGTCTAAACTCATATGCATCTCAGAGCCCATATCAGCAACTGGTAGAGAGCAGCTCAGTGACTCCATATGGAATAAGCAAACTACTTAAACATAAAACACATCTGCTTATCTCCCATCCCAATGGTGTCAGCATGCACAAGGCCCATGCAAACTCAAACAGACAAAAACCTAGCAAAGAACTGGGGGAATGAAGAGCAGACCCCAATCTTAGCTGAAGAAATATTGGCAACTGGGTGAGGAAGAGCTGATCTTCCTAAAGCGAGGGACTCTAGATAGAATGCCTAGACCTCAGTAGATGAACCTGTACTGAGGAACATTTGGAGACACTAACTTAACACAATAGGCCTTAACATAAATGACAGAATGTATGAATGGGGGGGGGGCTATGGGAGGGTGCCAGTGAGGAAGGTGGTATAAAGATGATTAAGATTTATTGAGATGTCCTGTACGAAATACACAAAAAAGTCAATAAAAAAACACGTCTGCTTATGCAATTTCATGCCATTAAACGCTCTGAAAAAAAAATGAGTATAGTAAATAACAATGAATTTTTATTTTATTTTGCTTTTGCTCAGAAGAAAAACATGTAATTGAAGTCTTCTCCCCAAACTGGTTGCTTAGTCTTTCTACTCAGAAATAAGAACTAATACCAGTTTTGTATGTACTCTTCCATAGTAAAAACATACATACCGGATATATACAAATCCATTTCCTTATGAGCAATAAAGGGAAAAATAGATACTCTAGCTGTTTTTCTTAATCACATGTAAAGCTGTGTCATTCATCAATAACTGCTTATTTTATTATATGAATGTACTATGCTTTATCAGTCATATTATTGGACACTTTATTTACTGTCTTTTTACTGCAATAGATAATGGTGCAGTAAATATGTCTACACTATGTCATAACTAAACAAAACACTTTTCCAATTGTTTTCTGAACCAGCTGTATTGTCAGGTGGTGGAGACATAAAGCACTCACACAACTGTGCCCCTAAATTTGAACCACTCTCATTTAGTTGAAATGGTGGGTGGGAAAAACAGGAAATGCTATCACAACGTACTGACAAAGGTAAATACCCTGGGTATCAATGTACTGAAAGACTTGCAGACCCATCATGAGATAGCTGGGAGAAAAATAATGTTCCTTGGCAGATGCTTCCTTCATTTCTGAGACAATCTCATGGAACACTACTGGTAAAAACAAAACAAAACAAGAGCAACGATGACAACAACAACAACAAAAAACCCAGTCAACCAAATAAACAAGGGAAAAGCTAAGGACTCAGTTATGAACACTGGAGAGAAGACAGTGGAGGTGTACCATGCGTACCAGTCATCCAGAGGCTTAGAAGGGATGGCGAGGTGAGAGGAGTCTGGGGAGATATAGGAGCCCAGCTTCCCTTGATATCAGAGCAGAATGGAGGTTTTAACAATCCCCTAATCCGAATGGCCCGCGAGGCTTTCCCCAGGCTACTCATAATTACACTGGACTGAGACAGAGCAAAATGACCAGAT